GTAAACGGTAAAATAGGTACCAACGTCAGCTTAAAAGTCCCCGTTTCACTTTGCTTGTGTTTGGCAACTGTCATGGATTGAATTGTGTCCCCCAAAATGTGTGTCAACTTGGCTAGGCCATAATTCCCAGTATTGTGTGATTGTCCACTATTGTATCATTTGATGTGATTTTCCTATGTGTTATAAATCCTACCTCTATGAAGTTAATGAGGCAGGATTAGAGGCCGTTATGTTAATGAGGCAAGACTCAATCTACAAGATTAGATTTTGTCTTAAATCAATCTCTTTTAAGATATGAGAGAGAGAAGCAAGCAGAGAGACAGGAGGACCTCATATCGCCAAGAAAGCAGCACCAGGAGCAGAGCACATCCCTTGGACCTGGGGTCCCTGCACTGAGAAGCTCCTAGACCTAGGGGAAGACTGACGACAAGGACCTTCCCCCAGAACAGACAGAGAGAGAAAAGCCTTCCCCTGGAGATGGCGTCCTCAATTTGGACTTCTAGCTTCCTAGACTGTGACAGAATAAACTTCTCTTTGCTAAAGCCATTCACTTGTAGTATTTCTGTTATAGCAGCACTAGATAACTAACACAGCTACTGATGACCTCTGACATCCAGAGATATGTCGGAAGATGAGAATAAATGTGATTCTGATAAATAACTTCTGCTTCAGATTCACTCAATTACAGACATATATTGAGTTTCTATCATGCACTCAGGATTTCTTATAAAGCAGTAATGAAAGATATGACTACTCTCTTCAAGATTTCAATATGCAAATTCTAAAATGGAATTCAAATGCACTTTTGAGTGATTCCATTCTCTCTTAAACATAATTATGTATATATTATATCAACATATTAATATAAAAGGAGTATTGTACATGCATGTTTTCGTATAAAAACAATTTCCAACAACTAATGCTCAACAGTAAATAGTAAGTGAAGAGATTGTACTTAGGCTGTAGTGTTCTTTTGTGTTTGTTTTCTTTTTAGCAGTTATCCAGTCACCAAATAATGGAGATGTTTTTTATTCTGGGAAGATGGTAAATTTTGTATTCAATGGTACAAGAAACAGTGAATTAAAAATATCGATTCATGATTAAATACATAACAATTAGACATAATCTACCACTTATTTGCTTATCATTGAAGCACATTTGTCAATTTATCACAAAAAGCCAAGACATTCTTTCCTCATGTCTATCTGCCTTGCTTTCCCTCTCTAGAGCAGTGGTTGGCAGTCTAGGGCCCATAAGCCAAATCCAGCCTGCAGTTTTTGTTTTTGTAACTAAATTGTTATTGGAACACAGCCTCCCCCTTTTGTTTACTTACTATCTATGGCTGCTCTTGCATTACAACTGCAGAATTGACCAGTTGTGATAGAGACTGTAGGGCTCTAAAGCTGAAATATTTAGTATCTGATCCATTATTGAGAAAATTTGTTGACTCCTGCAAACTAGACTGTTATCTAGTGTGAACGGGGGCTTTGTTAAGTCTGAGTTTTATAAATCGTATAGGACCCGGTTTACCTGCAGACCACTTGATTCCAAATAAATATCCAAAAAGTATTTTAGTACTTTTATTATTTACTTAGGTTAAGAGGCAAGGGGAACATACAATGCAATAAGATAAAGAAGGGTTAATTCTCTTATTTTCAATTATCAGACATTTACCGTTTTTCTGTATTCATATGACTATACTTCTCAGAATGTTGAAAACATAAAATGAAAGGAATCTGACATCAGCTCACAGAATATTTTGGAATAAACTTAACCCAATCCTTTCCTTTTACTGGGATTCTTTCCTGAAGCAGGTTGTTTTGGTATGTTTTGTAACCTAGGTCTCTTTGGGCATAATAGTTAATTAACTTTAGACTATTAATTATAGTTGCATTTTATTGTGTTCAAATTTTATACTAGGTGCTCTGCTGAATTATAGCCATTAGCATGAGATGAAGCAGATGGCAAGGTCTCAGATTCCATTACGGCTGCCCAATTACACAGTAGGCTGCCTCTGAAGGAGTGAGCTCCCCTTTACTGGACTTGTGCAAGTAAAGAGTGATGACTACTAGTCAGCAATGTAGTAACAGGGTTTCCTGCTTTGGGAGGAAGTTCAATTAAATGACCTTTAAGGTCCCTTTAGAGTCTAAGCATCTGTAAGTCTTCATTACTTAGCATCAAAACATTCTGCAAACTGAAGAAGCACACTCTAATAGTAATAAAATTCATTCTTACATTATGCTGTTTTAGAGTTATATGACATGATTAAATGCAATTTATAGTAAACTTTGAAGAGGAGGACTGACTTTGCTCCAACCCACATCAATCATTGAGATGGCTGATATTAATTGAACATCTGGACCAGCATCTAGTCAGTTAAATGAAATATGATTTTATCACTAATATGAAAGAAAAGTCCTCTAATACATGCACGTGAATGTCTGCAGATCATGCATGGGATACATCTGAACCAAATGCACTTATCAAACTATACGGCAAGTAATGAGGCAAGTAGAGTCTTACTGAAATTCCTCAAAGAAGTGATGCGTGTATCTCATCAAGCACCGTGTCTGGGTTTCCTCGGTACTAAATAAATCTTCATTTTACTGAATTAGCAACACTGATTTAATATAGGAAGGAAGGGAATAGTCTAATATTAGGGACAAGATAGTGTAATGGCTTTGGATGTGCTTCTGACAGCAACTGCCTTTATAATCTTGGACAGTATACTTCAAACATTAGGGCTTAAGTTTCCTTAGATATAAAATATGACATTGCTTTGCAAACCTTAGAGTATATAAAAATCGCCTGACTGGTTTGTTAAAACACAATTGCTAGGACCCAATAAAAAACTGGGCACAGAAGATGAACAGACACTTCCCCAAAGAGGATATTCAAATGGCCAACAAACACATGAAAAGATGCTCTACGTTATTAGCCATCAGAGAAATGCAAATCAAAACCACAAAAGATACCATTTCATTCCCACTAGAATGGCTAAGATAAAAAAGAAAATGACAAATGTTGGCGAGCATATGGGGAAATTGGAACCCTTATCAATTGCTGGTGGGAATGCAAAATGGTACAGCCATTGTGGAAAACAGTGTGGTGGTTCTTCAAAAAATAAAAATAGAACTACCATATGACTCAACAATTGTACCCCTAGGTACATACCCTAGGCATCTAAGAGAAATGGCACAGACATATGCACACTTGAGTTCATCATGGCACTTTCACAATAGCAAAAAGATGGAAACAACCCAAGTGCCCATCAATGGATGAATGGATAAGTAAAGTGTAATACATACACACAATGGAATACTATTCAGTGATAAAGAAAAATGAGTTCCCAAAACATCTTGGAACATGGGTGAAATTGGAGGCCATTATGTTCAGCGAAATAAGTCAATCACAAAAAAAAAAAAAAAAAAAAAAGTTGTATGCTCTCACTTCTATGAAATGACATGAATAGGCAAATATGCTGAAACTAACGTTCATTATTGATTATCAGCAGTGGGGGGGATTCACTCTCTATATAGTAGACACTTGTTATTTTTGGTGATAGGAAAGGAAACACCAAATGAGGGTGAAGTATGCACAGCTTCATGGAGTAAATGCTGTCACTAAAATGTACATGAGAAAAAAGAACCTTTTGGTAATTCAATGGCATATATAATTTTGAAACAACAGCAATAAAACCAAAAAAACTATGTATGTATGTAGACAAATATTTGTATAGGTATGTATATGTATGTACATGTGAGTATATATGTGTATATATATAGATGTATGCATATGTATATGCACATATGTGACTGTGTGCACGTATATTCATATATACAATAAAGCACATAGGGGGCACATTACAGATACTTTTTTGACATAATCAAACACCTCACATGATTGGTTTCCTGGGTTTGAAGGATTAGGACCATAGTTTCATGAGACATCTCAGTCAATTGGCATAATATAGTTCATAAAGTTCATGTTCTACATCCTGATTTGGTGAGTAGTGTCTGGGGTCTTAAAAGCTTGTGAATGGCCATCTAAGATACAACTACTTGTCTCTGCTCATGGGGAACAAAAGAAAAGAAGGAAAACAAAGACTCCGAAAAACTAGTCCAAAGGACTAACAGTCTACACGAACCACAGACTCACCTACCCCGAGACCAGAAGAACTAGATGGTGCCTGGCTACCACTAATGACTTTTCTGACCAGGGCCACTAGAGATGCATCCTGATAGAATGAGAGAAAAATGTGGAACAGAACCTCAAATTCCTACAAAAAACAGACTTACTCTACTGGTTGGGACTAGCAGACTCCCTGAGACTACTGCCCTGCGTTACTCTTTAAACCCTGAACTGAAACTAGGCCCTGAGGCCACCTTTTAGCTAAATAACAGATTAGCTCACAAAATAAAAACACCCATGAGTACTGTGCTCCTTTAAAAAAATCATCTACATGAGACCAAACGGTCAACGATTACTTTAAAACAAAGATGAGAATGTAAGGGGACAGGGAAACTAGATAGATGGGAATGGAAATAAGAAAATGTTCACTGATTGTGAAGGATGTAACCAATGTCACTGAACACTTTGTATATAAAGTGTGTATAAACTGCTGTGTAAACTTTCACTGAAAACACAATAAAATATTTAAAAAAACCATACACACACAATTGCTAGGTCCCACTCTCAGCATGTTTTAGATGAGGTCCACTATTAGGCATTTGTAATAAATCCCCAAGTGCTTCTGATACTGCTGTTCTGGGACCATACTTTAAGTAAAGAATAGTACTGGGAAGATGGTGGTAGTGAATCTCCAAATTGTTAAATACTTTACAGTTATAAGAGACAAGGCATTCAGCATCAAACATTCACACTAAAATGTAATTTTTTTATATCAAAGTTTCATGTCAATTAGACAACATGAAATGGACACTTTTTCTTTAGATTTCAACAGAGATTTTTGAGTAAGTAAAATGTTCTAAAGAACTTACGTCATTGCTTGATAAATGGATTCAATCCCATAACGCATAGCAAATTCATCTACTATTTCTTGGGAAGCGTCATCAAAGAAAACCTTCCAGGCTTCATCCCCTTTGACCTCTGGGATTTTCACTCCCCCATTAGATTTCACTTCAGTCAAGTAATGGAACAGATTCTAAAGGTAAGAGGATTTTCCATTATTCTGTAATTCCTCACAACAGGACAGAATTATTTAAAAATTTTAGAAAAATATACTTGCATTGAATTGCTTCTAATGTTTTGTCAGCATTTATAGGCAATAGGAATATCTTGCATTTTTATTAACTCGTCTGTTATACAAAATCTGCTTTTACTTCTGATGGGTCTATACAGAATTATTGATTCAAATGTTCTTTGTATACAAAAACATTTTCAGAAGGAAATGAAAGCTTTTGCATGTAAACATTTCTACATGCTAGAACATGACAGTGATTTTGTGTTCATGGGTTCTGAGTAGATTATAGGACCCTGGACAAACAATGTGGTTATGGCTATGTTCGTACATCATTTAGTTACATAAATAATATTAAGAGGGCTTTAGCTGCAAAATGGTAGGAGGCAGGGCAATCATCGAGGTTAAAAGGAATGTTTGAGAATTTTATAATGAAGAAACCACTACCCACAATTCCTTTTCCCTCTATCAAGTGTAGTAACTGCTGCATGGATGTAATCAGAGTCAACTGAAGGACCTTTTTGGATAGTTCTTTCTGGTCCTTGGACCAGCAGGAAAGATTCTGAAAAGCAAAGCGTAATGCTGTTTTTCTGATCCTGAATCCTTTCTGCTCAAATCTTAAAGGCAGAATTGGCTCCACATCATGCCAGGTCGAGGGAGCTCTTTTTATTGGTCTGAAAATGGAACCAACTTTCTTGAAAGACTATCACAGACCAGATCACAGTCAGGAAATTAAGCCTAGGTCCTATTCCTAATTACTTGTACGATGTGTAAATAACTTAAACGCTGTTCCTCATTCCTTCTTTAGTAGAATGGGGTGCAAATAATTACATATATAAATTTTCATAGACATATTTTAAAAATAATTTGTAAAAGAGCAAAGATTCTTTCATGTGTGTTTTTTCTGTCTTGGGAAAGTATTCTTTTTTTATTACTTAAAAGATGGTTTTAGAGTAAACTTAAGATTTCCTTAGTTCATTAGAATAATTTCTACTTTATCAGTATTGTGAGTTTAAATATCATCTGTTTGTGTGATTTTTACATTTCTTTTTTTTCAAGGGTTAGGGTTAGGGTGTACAATTTATTGACAGCAGTTACAATAATCTGCTGTACAACCCTACCCTTAATCAATGCAATATTTCCATCTTTACCTTTTTGAACATGGGGAAAGGTACACTTCTCAGCCTTACCTTCTATGTTTTGATAAATGGGACAAGTACCATTTTCATCAAGGAAAGACTCTGGTGACACCTCTACCTTAGCTCTCAGATGCAAAGCAGCCAATAGGAAACCAAGATTATTCATCTGTGTATCTATACTGAAGCACACAATGTCCTGGTGGATCTGCCCTTTGGATTCATGTTGGATGGTCTCCACCTCCCTCCAGGTACAACCAGACCCCACCTTTTGGGTGAGTGTATTCTCTACTCCCATGAGTAGGGTAACCACATTCTCCATACCTATATGTATGTGTGGGAAAGGGTAATTAGAATGGAGGAGAGTTTAATAAGTATGAAGTCTTTTGGTGTACTCAGAAAAGGAAGAAAAAATGGATGCTTATCACTTTGGGAAACACTGGTGGCGTAGTGGTTAAGAGCTATGGCTGCTAACCAAAAGGTTGGCAGTTCGAATCCACCAGGCACTCCTTAGAAACACTATGGGGCAGTTCTACCCCCTCCTATAGGGTGGCTATGAGTTGGAATTGACTCGATGGCAATGGGTTTGTTGTTGTTGTTTTTTTTTAAATCACATTGGCTCTGAAAAGTCATCGCTATATCAGCATTTTTAATATTTTTAGTTATAAACAATGCTCCTAATTAAGTCTTCAACAAATCAACACTAACTCAGGATTCTCAAGAACAGTCATGATTTGGATCATCTCCTGAATAAATAAAATACTATATCCTTTAATGCTTTCAAAATAGTTCCCATGACTCATTTCCTCAATGGCCACTTTTTAACACTTTTTCCTCCTTGGAAGAACAGTAATTTAATTTAGTCTATTTATGCATCATCTTACTGCCCGATTTATTAATACCTGACTCGTGTGCTCGTTCCTAAACTCTAATTAGACTACAATCTTTTCAGGGAGAAATGCATACACTTTATGATACCCTAGGACATCACCTGCTATACTATTGTACACAGAATAAGAACTCTAGCAACAACTCCATAAACCTAATTCAATTTTTTAAACCAAACATTTTGTTGCATGATCCATAATCAAGATCAATTTCTTTTCTAGGTTTTATTATTAATATAATTCAACTTACCTCATGTAGACATGTATATTGTATATGATATGGAGCAACCTTCTCTTCTCCTTTTATTTCCACATTGATTTTCAATCGAATGGCCCCAGATACAGCTGATTTATCTGTTCGTTTCTCTGATAAAGCAAAACGTAACTATCATTTTCAACAATGCCATATTTTTCATACAAGTTCCCAAAAGCTTAAAAAAGGCTTAAGTGGCTAAATACCATTTTTTTAGATTACACTTGATTATTGACCATAATTATTTCCCAAATAAAAATTAAAATGTTTGCTTATCATATCATTGTGACTGTGAAAGAGCATTGTAGATACTTGAAATAGAAAAACTTCATCAGTAAAAGACCCTGAAATTCTTGTATAAATTATTATGTACTTGATAAGTTTATAAAATGAAATTAAATAAATTATTTGGGCAATTAAAAGCAAGATAACTGAAATATGAAGTTAACCAGGAAACTATTTTATCTAAAAGCCTCAACTGTTCAGTTGCTTCTTTTCCTTTATGTGTTTGAAAAGATAAACCAAAGTTCTGGCTAACAAAAAAATCTGTTAGTTAAGTAATAACTAACATCTTAATCATTGTCAGTAATTAAGACCTATAGCCTACAGCTTGTGTTTACTTACGAGCATTGGATTAACTGGTTAGTTGAATAGAATCAATATGCAATTGAGTCATATAAGTTATGTGTGTGTGTGTGCGCACGTGGCCAGTATTAATAGCTTTGAAAGAAATAAAGGTATAGCCACAAAATTCCTAGCATGTGAATGAGGGTAGGAAACCTAAGCTTGACACCCATTTCGAGAAATACCAAGAGGGAAGGCGCCCCATTTCATAAACGAAACATAAGGAGAGAAAGTGGCACAAAGTCAGTGGTGCAGATGTGGACCTCTTTCTAAACACAGCTGTATTTGTAGCCACATAAGATACAGTTAAATCATGAAGGCTACTTTCTTCTTGTTGAATGCGTGCTGATTTCTCATTGTTACTGTTTAATAATCATTTTGCACAGATTCTCCATTTAGGAGTGCGAGGAGCATGAGCATTTGTCCTACTGGCTGGGAGATAGCTGATGCTCAACAAATGTTAAAGTCCTCTTCTGAGGCCAAGAGAAATGCTAGTACTGGGAATTTTTCCTTTTCTTTTTTTTCCACAGAGCTCTTTCCAGAGCCCCAGAGCAGCTTTACTGGTTCTTTGTTTCCCTATCATCAGCCCAGTGGATTTATGGGAAGCAGGCTGTTTGGACCCCTATGCCTTTAGGCCAAAATTCCTCTGTCTAATGAAATGAATTCTAAACGATGAAGAAATAGAAAAGGTGTACAGAGAGTGCAATCAGGGCACCAAAGTACTAACTGACGGTGAGTAGACAAAGGCTTACGGTGTGTTGCTTCATATTCTCCTCTTAGAGACTGAAGGGTGATTTCAGCGTGAGAGCTGCGTCGCTGTCGTTGTTAGCAGCACATTCAAGCTCCTCAGTAAACTTAATATACCCATGGACATTCGGTCAAAGGACACATTTGAGGAATTTCTATTCTGAATTTTAATTTGACTGCCTTAATTGAAGAACATGCTAAATTATTCCAGAAAAAAAGTCTGTATAGGTGAGCTTCTTTAATTAAAACACAATTTGTGAATATTGGACAGAGTTATTGATGGTCTGAAGCTTACCCTTGCATAACCTATCTGTTCTCACATATAGTTATTTAGTAGCGTAAGCAAGATGTGAGAGGATGCTCGTTATAACTGAGGGAAAAATTCCACTCCAATAATGTAGAAGCATTGATTTTCTTTAAGGAATATTTCTTTAAAATGTTTTTTGACATTGAGTTCTTAGTCTAGTTTGAATCATTTGTGTCCAGATAAATAATACATTTCTGCTTCTTTAAAATACTATATAATTCAGTTTCATTAATTCTAAGTATCCTCCCTTTACTTTGTCAAATATTATATTACTTGAACTATGTAGGTTTTTAAAACTGCAAAAACACTCTTTAATTTAGTAAAATATATTGGTATACTAAATGGTGGCTCTGTGGAAGTCTAGAACTGTGTAAACCCTTTTTTGATTCACAGCCAGACAGCCATCAAAAATTTAATTATGACATTTCAGAAGATATGATTAAAAAATCTGTGGATCATATCCTTTATGGAAACTGAGGTGACCCATAATTTTTACTACTATTAAATTAGAACTGAACATTCTAGGTTACTATTCAATTCTCATAAAAGTCAAATTAAAACCTATCTTTAATTCCTGATTCCATAATAATTTTTCATTTAAAAAACTACGCCAATAAATATTCTCAATATCTTTGTCTTCAGTCAGAACAAGCCCACATATGTACTTGGCTTTGCCAGCTGAAACTTATATTTGTATCATCATTTGGAAAACATCCAAAATACATTTTTTTCCTTTTTTGACAACATTTCATTAAGGGATCAGAAGGAAGTAAGTCAAAACAGCATTAAATCATAGGTTAATTACTTGTTTCCCCTACGGCTGGCTTTTAAAGCTGTATTTTATGAATTAAAACGTTAAGAATGAGACAAGATTTTTCTCCTGAAAGACCTCCAGTTGGTTCTTCGAAAGACTTTGTCCATCTCAAATTTACTAACGTCTTTCAGTAATGCTGAATTTGAATAAATAATTAGCACTTTTAGTTTCTAATGAAATTACACCACCTAAAGTCCAACCTGGTGGCTAGTGGTTAAGAGTTTGGCTGCTCAGCAAAAAGTAGGCAGTTCAAATCCACCAGCTGCTCCCTGGAAACCTCATAGGGCAATTCTACTCTGTCCCATAGGGTCGCTATCAACTCGATGGCAACGGTTTTGGTTTTGGGGATATGGGGATATAATACATGCCATAGACATTCTGAAATTTTACATAAATTGTGTTCATTGTGTTCAAGTAGATCTGAAGATAGTAGTCACCTAAGTTGTACCAGACGTCCATTTCTCCACTCAGGGTCCTCACTTCTACAATTGTTTGTCCCAGAAAATCATCTGATTCCTTTTTGAAATGTTGCTTGACTCTGGATTTAATGTCATCATCTTCATCCCACACTCTGACTTTGATTCTGTCTGTGGAGTTATGGCACTCACTGAAAAATCAATGTGGACAAGTTAACAACCATTGATAACTGCTCCAAATGCCATTTGATTTTTAGCGTTTTAAATCTATCTAATCTATAAAGACAGTAAATTACATAATAAGTGAGATCTTTCCATTGACCCACTCCATCCATGGGATGTTGCAGATATCAGGGATATTGAGGAAAGTTACATTAATTAAATCATGTTAATAAGGGAAAATTCTATTCCATTCTGTTTCTTTTAACTGAACTAGATATAAGGAACCATGGTAGCTCAATGGTTAAGCACTTGGATGCTAACTGAAAGGTTGGTGGTTTGAACTCACGCAGTGGCTCTGCGGGAGAAAGACCTGGAGGTCTGCTCCCGTAAAGATTACAGCCTAGGAAACCCTGTGGGGCAGTTCTACTTTGTCCTATAGTGGTGCTGAGAGCCCAAATTGACTCGATGGCACCCACCACCAACAAACTGGATATAATCATATATACGTCAAAAATCTTTGCTTGGAATATTTTCACTTATTGAGATAGCTCATATTGTAAGAGTTATCTTGAACAATGTATCCATGGCTCAGAAAATTCTGCAGTATATATATGAAGCTCATTTTATTGAAATCAGTGTTGAGAAAGTGGATTTCACATAGTACAAAATGATACCATACAGCTAAGTGCAAGTACTTAATCAATGAAAAATCACAGTAAGTATATAAGATATCGATAGATTAAGTAGAATTAGAGCAGCAAAATCTTTTCTTTTAAAAATAAACTGCTAGAAATTTTTGAAATGGTGTATCTTTGGCTATGTGTATTTTCACCAAAAAAAAAAA